CTCATTTATCAAGAAATAACAAGTGTAATATCCACTAAAGCAAAGCTTAAGTATATGACACCAACAGTTTCCATTAAATTGTGTGTTTTTAGTGTGTTTTTGTGGTGTAACTATAAACAGAGCTTTATGTGTTTACTTACCTTATAAGCTTGTGGTTCGATATTATTACAATAAATTGTAATAGACATGTGCAAACTCATAATCACATCGAAGTCTATAAGAACTTCTGGAGCTATACCGCTTCCTTTGCTGCATTAGAGGCTGCAACGTATTCGGCTTCCATGATGGAGTCCGTCACACATTTCTGATTGACACTTCACCAGAATATGGATTTACTTTCATCCCTATTTAACTGAAAATTGGAACTTGTGTATCCCACAGGCTCCAAGTCTGCCTTGTATACTAGCATATAATTCGTAGTCCTTCACAGTTACTTGATTATATTATTCACCACAAACCAATGTTCTGTCCAAGACTACCCTGATATCTTCTAACCATTCATACGACAAAGCATATATAGACCCCATATATAGCATTGCATACATGAGGCTTCTTACAACTGATGCGTAAGGAACCACCTTCAAGTCATCTATTGTTGTGTCTTTGGACACATCCTTAGATAGAGTAAAATAAGATATTCTATATTAGAATTCTGCATGCTAAAAAGTGTCATTGCAGTATCTATGTATAATGCTTGGGATAAGCAGAGCATTCTTTTCTAGCGATCCCTTTCTACTTTGATGTTAAAAGTAAGTGTTTTTTATCTTAAGTCTTTCATATAAATCTGTTCGGATAACCATACCTTTACATTCGACAAAACCTTCAAAATATTGGCAATGCAAAGTATGCCATCGTAACGTACAATACAAAAAATAGAACCAAGTTTCCACAATATTGCCAATGAGAAGTATATGTCATCTTATGTACAATATAAGAAATAGCACCAAGTTTTTGTCGCACTTCTTGTACATGTATTGCTCATCCAAACTCCGATTTAATCCATAGCAGGGAACTACTTCATCGAATAGGATGTTACAGGTCCTAGATGCTCGCTTTAGTCCATAAATGGACTTCGTTTTCTTACGAAACATTCTATTGGCCTTTCACGACAAAACCCTCAGGTTGCCTCTTATAGATGTTTTCTCCAAGGCATTCGTTAGAAAAGATGTCTTGAGGTTCTTGTACATGTATTGCTTACTCGATGATGACCCATTCTATCTAAATGCAAAACAACAGAACATAGAACTTGTTTAATCAAACATGATTCTCATTCATAATGGGTAAAAATGTAATATCATCTAAAGTCAAGTTTTTAATATATAACACTAACAAGGACAAGCAAAGAAATTAAACAAATCAGGCAGATAAGGCAACATTACAATAACATAAGGCATACAAAACTTCTCTTTTCTCAACAACCAAAACATGCTAAACCCTTCAAATAAGGCTGAAACATTAGCACTTGACCACTTAATTCCCATATATAAATAGTACTAAAAAGGCTTAACCACAATCGGCAAAAACAGGGCATAAGAGCAACAAAATGCAATTTTTCCTTTTCCAAAAAATTGACCACACTTCGCCTAACATGCTTGGGCCATAACAACTGAAACTAAAATCTGAATATGAACCCCAAATAGCACATAACACATCACAAAAACACAATAACCAGGCACGAGATCAATCAAGCAACCAAACACAAACATAGATGCTTCTTTCTCTACTCTTAAGCATGCCTTAATGTCCTTTGAAATAACTGAAACTAATGCCCATCAAGCTCTGAGATATGCATATAAATTCATCTTATATGGCACTCAAGAAGCTCAGCATAAATTGAACATATATGCCACAAAATCTACATAATACCAAAATAAACATTTTGCATAACTCTTCAAAAGTAATCCATTTAAGCATGCTTTTAATATAACATTTTAGAACCCATGAAATTTAACACTAAAAGCAGCATATAAAAACAACCCAAAATTCAGCACAATGTAGCCACAAGATTATCACAAACAAGGCAAAAAGGCTACAATTAACGGATTCTAAGTCCACCAATTTCATAATTACAACACGATTTAATCTCGAATCTGAAAATCGAATATCCAAACTTTCACGAGATAAACACATAATAAATATCAACATTCTTATTACTCCACAGTTAATCAATTTTTCACAAAGCCCACTTATCTCACACTTATCACAAATACGCCAAAATTTTATAAATTAATCACCATATCCTCAACTTGCCAATTAATACAAATGTACACATAATAATCATTCTCAAATCCTACGATCCGAATCCACATCATACGGATCTAATAAGCACAAAGATAAAAAAGTGATATTCGAAATTTACCGCACTATTCGAATACACAAAAGGAGGAAAAACGAGTTGAGGCTCGAACATGGTCACTCGCGGCCTCATGAGGAATTGGCTCGCTGCAGCCTGGACACTCTTCAATTGGCAACTGAAACAAACACCCGGTGGTAGCTCGTTAGCGATCGGGGCACTACAAGGGAGCTTCCGGCGGAGGCAGACTATCCAGCGAGGACGCCGTTCAGAGATTTCCACTCAGGTCACCGGTTGTGTTTGATGCCTGCAGTGAAGCTGACCGGAATCGTCTCAGTCACCTCCTCCAACATCTCCGTCCACCGCCTCTTTCGCGCCTCAGCCGTCTCAGTCATCTCCCCTAATGTTTATGTGGCGTACGGGATCCGGTTAGCATCTCCATGACCGGCTTCGTCTTCAACAACCTCATCGCCTGTCTCGATTCCGGAAAGGACACGGTGGTCGAGGGAGACGGCTGACGACAGATGATAGGTCGAAAAATGTTCACGTTTTATATATTTAATGATATATTTTTATATGTGTAATTTATTCGCACGTTTATATTTTTTGACTTATTTATTATTTTGATGAATTCATGTACTTCGATATTTTGTTATCTTTTTTCAGCAATTTGAAAAATATTCTGAAATGTCATCGGATAGGATCCATAATGTTAGACAATCGGCCCGAGTGAGAAGGATGTGGGTCCAAAATAAAGTTCCATGAATTAATTCATGGGAAATTTTCACGTGTTCCACGTAATTATAATTTAATTACAACTCTATCATATCTACATTAATAATTGTGTCTCGACCAAAAATACCTTATTTGTTTATATTAATGCCTAAATAAGTTACCATATCCTTTGTAACGCCCTATTTTGATTTAACGAAAACTCATGGCTTTTCAGAAAAATCAATTTAAATTTTTGAAGCTCATTTCAAACCATTCGTGGCGTTACTCATTTTTTTTTAAACCCACATCCACCGTTAACATAATATCAAACATAAAATCAACTCCCAAAGCGAGTTTCATCACAATGTCATCAAGCACCCAAATCGGGTTTCATAAAATCATCACAGTATCAAAGAGGCACTCTCCTCATCCTTATTTCAAACCATCATAAAATCTCTAGTTCGCAAAAACATAAAATCTCAAATTTATAATATCCCAAGTCATGAAGTCATAAAATAAGTTCAGATAGTGGAAGCATGTCAACTAATAAGCTGGTCTCATAGACCGACCGCCACTCGCTCCACTCTGTCATGCCCGCACTTATTTAACCTGCATCTGTGAAGAAACAGGTGGGGGTGAGCACATATGGAGACCGTGGTGCTCACAACTATGCAATAGACAATAATCATAATATAAAAATTGGTATGGTCGCAGCATGTATACGAAACAATTAATTATATCATAAAATCATAAAATAAAGACTCATGTGCACACCTATGGATAGACTACTGTCGGATAATATATCGAATGCCCTCGGGTCTTTCAACAAATGCCCGACCAGCAGAAGTAAATCCACCTCGATGGCCAAGACCTCGCCTTGGTCTTACAAACGGGGATCACCGGCCAAAGGCCTATACCCTGGTCTTACGGCCACAAAAAGGAGATTACTCAATAGGTACGTTCTATAGCTACGGGGATAACCGTTCGACGGTCGGTACAGCTCACATAGAAGGCAACATGATTCACATGCATACATTGATCATACCACAAACAGTCATTGACAACATTTACTGCATAGCAATTTAAATAAAACCCACCTGATTACCGAAGAGGAGAATCACACACAAAACAAGAAACTAGGTCGAGGATTCAGCTCGTCGAACCTACATTTATCAAGATAGCCCTATAAATAACTGTACGAAACATGAAAAACATTTACTTAGTTCAACTCAGCTCATATAAGTCATATAAGTATGCAGTTAAAAAGTAAATTCTATTTTCGATAGTACAACATAAGTTTTCACAACTTAACCCGCGCAGCGATTTTAAAATAAACATAACTTGCAGCACACATGTCATATAAACGTGATTCCAGTTGCATATGAATCCTAAGACATGCAGCTGCAACTCATATGAAAACATCGATTACAAGTTAAATCATTTACCAGGATATAATTCAACAAACATTCATAACAGCGTTGTAGTCAGAAAACTGAAATTTTATACATACAGAGCGTCAGTAATTATTACATAATTCATGCTATAGGCTTTGAAATGACATGATTCAAAAAAACAACAGACAGCTAAGAGGTAAGGCTACAACTTTCTTGAAGACCACATTTCAATTTGAGTACATACGGATATTCATATATGATATTATACTACACCCGGTTTAATAGAGAAAACAAATATATATTGGAGGATAAGCCTACGTATGGACTAAGAATCACGATATGGGTCAAGCCCAACTGGAGCCATAAAGGTACACTCTATAAAAGGGGGATAAGGTACCTCATTCTCTCTAT